CACGATGCTCGAAATGGCGCTGGAAGGGGGGCCAACCTAATTTTATCGTGGCCGGCAAGGCGGCGCGCGCGGGCGAGAGTTTCCAGGGGCACCCGCTCGGAATTAAAAAGAAGTCAGATGTGCTCCCGCGGCGCGTGATCCTCCGCCACGCCGAGGCCTGCGTCGGCAACGCCAAGGAGGTCGAGGGCGCGGCGAAGAACGGCCAGGTCCACGAGCAGGTCCCCAACGCGTTGCAGATTCTGCGGCAGTGGGGGACAATCGCCCAGGACATGGACGAAGTGTTTCGTGCGACGAGATGCTTCAAGGGCAAGCAGCCAGGAGGGGCCGAGGATCAAGTTCGATGGATCTGGGCAGCCAACCACCGCCCAGACTTGAAGTCGGCGCCGACCACCCTCAGGACCAACGGTGCTCTCAAGGCCGCCCACGTACTCCATGGCCACGATCATGGACAGCGCTCAAACAGATCGAGGAGCTCGACTTCCGCAAACAAAGGAAAAACGACAAGCAGAAGTCGGGCCCCAAGAAGCCGAAGAAAAAGTATCACATTCTTTCGACACAGCCGACCCCATATGGAACCCCCACTAGTTTGTTCAAGCGTCAAATGCTGAGTCGCACCGCTGACTGGCTGATGGATGGGCGTTGGTACTGTCATATATTCGCGGATTGTCCTATTGCGTCTCTCTCATGCCCTGGTGGACGCCGACCTGTCAAAATATCCCACGTTGTCCATGGCGGCTGCCGCGATCTCATCCTTGACTGGCTGGTCCACTGGCCGGAACTCATGTTGTGCAAAAGGTTCGAAGGGTCGAGCGTGTTCGTGATGGAGGTGGAGGGTGGCCTCTTAGGACCTGCGCGCTGCTCTGCCTGTCCTCCCGCACGGCCTCCCGGTCTAGCATCCATGAGTTTCGTTCGAGGGGGGCGGCCTACCTGCCCAACGGGGGGCGAGGGGGCCGCTCTCACAGTGCCGCTTCCACAGATGCGGGGGCGCGTAAGGGTAGGGTGGCGGCCTCTCCGTCCGTTCCTGCACGCGCACCCATCTGCGGGCCCTCCCTTCGGAATGCGGGTTTTCGAACGCGCCGGCTTCGGTTGGTTTCCCCTTCGGCCCCTCGCGAAGCACCCGTCCCTGGAAGGTTCCCGGGCGCAGTGGTAGAATAGAAAAGAGGAAGGGGGGCGGATGGCGGGGGAAGTCAAGCACGCGCCCCAAAAAGATGGCATCATTTTGGGATTCAGCTTCCGCCGGACACCTTTCGCGCCTCGTGGACGCCGCCTGCGGTGGGTGGGCGTGCTGAGGTTTTGCCTGGCGCCCGCCTCGCGGCCGCCCACGGGGGACTCGCGGGCGCCTCGCGCGCTCGGCGGCCCCGTGGAGTGTTCTTCGAGGGGAGCAAAGTCTATGCCAGCCTCTCCCTCCTGGACTTGACGGCCCTTTCTGCGGCATTGCAAGTTGCGCATGTTTGCGTTTCTTCCTCACCGTCCAATGAGAAGTCAGATCGACGCAACTCGCTGGACATTGACTACCCTCATCCGCGTCACAAGGCCTCGGTGAAACCGGCAGATTCACAGGCCTCAATATGCCCCCACGAGCGCGGAAGGGGCGCCCCCATTCAGCCTTCTCATATACGCAGGCGCGGCCGAGATCCTCCTCGACGCTCTCGAGCAGCGTGCACAGGAGGCCTTCGCGAGGAATTGCGCGGGCGACGGGTCCAGGACTTCTGGAAGGCAGCCACAAGCTCGGCGACCACGTTTGCAGATTTTGAAAGGATTTCGGGTCTCAGGCTCAATGTGGCCAAATATTACGTGGCCCCGCTTGACGCTGCCTCTTTCGATGCCTTCGAGCTCAGAAAAGGCCAACGAACTACCTGGGTGGGCTGCCATGCTGGCGTGCTCCAGCTGCAAGTACTTGGGCTTCCAGATCGGCCCCAGCAAAGGCGATTCGGCGCGGCGCAAGCCGTGGCAGAAGTATCTTGGCTGGGTGGAAATCGGGCACGGCGGACCTCTGGGCCTCCATTGGACCGCGAGGGTCTACAACGCGTTCGCCGTGCCGACAGTGGCGTGCGTGGGTCAGCTGGCCCCCATGCCTGGTTCGTCGCCTCAGCCTGGCAATTCCTGCGACGGGTGGCCAAGAGCCCCACTGAATGCGCGGCCGCAAGGGATTTGCGGGCATTGCGGGAATCTTTCGGGCTTCGAGCATCCCTGGCGGAGCTGCATGCCCTGGCGGCCGGGAAAAAGGGGCGCACATCGTCGGCGCCTGCGCTCCTCGAGGGCGTTTTCTCCTTGACGTCGAACGAATGCAGGAGGCCCTGCGCGACCCGCCGCGCGAGCACCCCCGCTTTGCATGGAACGATCGGCACAAGCGCATCTTCGCGTTGACCCTGGCCCGGGCCGAGAGCCAGCTCCTGCAGCGCCGCGCCGCAGCGGAGGGATTGCGGCGACCGCGACCAGCAGGCGACAGGCCCGCCGCCCAGGACAAGGCATGGCGGAAGGAGCGCCAACGCATGGCGTGCGATGTCTGGGCGGCTGTCAGGCACCAGAGCCCGCAGTGCGGCTTCGAGCGAAGCTTCACAAGTGGAACCTGGAGGACAGACGCCAGCGCGCCGTCGCATCCGGCAGTGCGCAGGCACGCGCGCCTGCTTGGCAAGGCCGCCGCGCGCGCCACCCGCTGCAGATAGGGGGGCGGCATGGGGCCGCCGCGGGTTGAGGCGGCAATCTTCTCTGCGCTCCTCAATCGTCGGACCGCGGCGCGGCGGTGCCGGGGCCGCGCAGGGCGCCTCCTTGTGCGCGGCGACGGCTCTGAAGACAACGCCGAGCAATGCTGCCGCTGCAAAGCGGCTGACGCAGCTTCTCAACGCAAGCTGCGCTTCGACCCGAACATGTTCTGCAACCTCCACAACTTTCTGCTGGGCCCGCGCATCCGCTCCAAGGGAGCACTGTGCACCATCGCCCTCGCCATGAACGGGGCACGCGCCGTCACCGACGCGATGCGACATAACGGGCGATGCGTCTTCGAGGCGGGGGTGGGGGCAAACATCCATGAGGCGCTTGCAGCATGGATGTAGCTCCGAGAGCCAACTTGCCAGATGGGCAGCTATTCGGGGGGCTGGCCACTTGGCAGTGAGGCCCCGCTGGCCGACGCGCAGGCCCAGCCGTTGCGGGTGGCAGGAGGTCGTCGGCGCATTTGATAGCGGGGCCCCATTTTCAATTGGCTTGGCCAGGTCTGGGCGGCCAAGGAGGTCCGAGGATCGATGTGGCAGCGGGGGGCCACTGTCAGTTTAATCATCGGGCGGGCAGGCAGACCGAGGCGCGGTTCCGATCGGGGGCCCATTGTCGGATTGGGTGTCGGGAGTGCTGAGTCGCAAGAACGGAGCTCCGATTGTCCGTTTGGCCGTGATGGGCCTCGAGCAAATTGGCAATCTGGGGGGCTAAGCCGGGACGGCGGAATTGGGCTCCGATCGTCCATTTGATTATCGGAATCCCGTAGTCACACGGGTCAGCGGGGTACCCGGTTGTCAATCTGATACTGGGCCCCCCAGAATCAAACGGGGAATTTGAAGGGAAGTGTCGCCGATTGCCCCTATGGCATTGGGGATCTCATTGCCAAGTGGGCAAAGTTCGCGCATCACTTTCCGCTGCAATTTTGCGCCCCCTCCGCCCATATCCGCCCCCGCCAGGAGGTATTATGGGGGGGGGAACTGCCACGCGCATTGACGATTCCAAAAGATTCGACAGACTCCGTGACTGCCCCCCCCGGGGCCCGCTGCTATCCCTCAGAAAATGCTTGGGCACATCTCATTTGGTAAACTGGGGTGCGTGGAATCGTGGAACGACTGCGGGGTCGGCTAGAACCTAAGCTCTCGCGCACTTCGCGCGCAGTTTCAGCGTTTGTGCATATATGCACACACTTGTAACACGACTACACACAGCTCAACAGCAAGTGGTCATACGGTATATAAGCCTATACGCACACACGCACTCGCGCGAACGATAACTGATAAGGAAGGAGTGTCGATGCTTATACATACGTGCGCATTCACACTTATGACGCGTAACCAAACAAGGTCCTGGCACTCATGCGGCATAGCCATGTTGCACCCGCGTCCCCATTGCACTGCGCATGCACGCGTATACATTTACACAATCATGCAACACGAGAGATCTCTTCCAAGCGTATGCATTCTGCATGCTCGCAGCCGCAGTCAGGTGTTAGGACGCACTGTCGGGGAAATGATGTGTGCACGCGCACGTGCACGGGTTATCGAAGGCCCTTTTGGCCCGCATCGCCAACCAATGGCGAGCACCATTATATTTGACACCCTTCTGACCGAGGCCACGCGGGGCAATATGACAGGCGTCATCCGAACCTTTCGGGCAGTGGTGAACCTCATCGTCATCGTGATCATTCAATGACTGGTATGCTTCGTGAATTTGCATTTGGTTGCATTTGCCCTGCTGTGCCGGCGGCTTCGCGAGGCCTTGATGGCCATCCCGACGGCGATCAGTGCCATAGGTCTGGTCCACATTCTCATTCATTGCATCCCCTCCCCTCTCCTCCCAATCCCATTGCTGTTCGCCATCTCCATCCCTCTCCCCCTCTTCCTCCTTTCTCCTCCTCCTCCCTCCTCCTCCTCCCCCTCCTCCTCCCCCTCCTCCTCCCCCTCCTCCTCCTGATCGCCGCCGTGAGATTTAGCAGCGGGTCGGTCTTCCTCCCCCACTCTGATTGTTCGCTCCTCCTCCTCCTCCACCTCCTCTTTGCTCCCCTTTGACCCCTGGGAATTAATTTGTCATCGGCCCTTGTTGCAATCCGTGCAATCCTATGTTGGTTTGAAGACCAGCAATAAAGTCCCTACTTTGGAAATAGTCCAGCTCACTCTGGCTCTAGCCACTCCTTTCTGATCGGAGCTGGTGCGTCAGTTAGCGCTTCAATCCAGCTTGATGGCTCATCGTCGTGCCAAAGAAGACCTGCCATGACTTCCTGGCCCTCCATCTCCGCCGAGCATCCGCCCCAGGCCGTTGCGGCGCAGGTGGAGAGACGATCCGATGGCCGGCGGGGGCTGTCTGCATTCGGCGCCATTTTGGGGGTAGTGCGGTGGCAGGCAGGGGCTGAAGCTGTCCACGTCGTCTTTCTGGATGGGGAAGGAAGAGAAGGGGGCTGACTGACTGTTTGCTCGATTACGACGAGCGTTACCTCAAGTTCAAACGGGGAGGTTTGGCACGCGATTGCAGTTGAGAATTGGATAAGTTGAATCCGACACTTCGGATGGCGATTGGCGCAGTTGGGTTCAGAACGTGGCAGCGGGAGGAAAAGGACTGCCTGGGATCAGGGGGAAGATGCACTATAAGTTAACCGAGGACGAGGCGGATGAGGATATTGCGGAAGATGAAGGTGGAGAGTGAGGATGACGAGGAGGGGAAAGGTCGAGGCGGCTGCGACGGACGGTGAGGAAGATCGGTTGATATTCAGGGGGAGATGAGGGCGAGTAGGAAGACGAGTACGACGAGGAGGGTGATGTGGGGAAGGAGGGGGACATGTGTTGAAGGAGGGAGTAGGAACATGATACGGAGGAAGACACCGAGGAGGCTGTGAGGTAGGTGAGGTGGCGGGGGGAGGACGAGGAGCAGCGGGAAGTATGCTGAATACGACGACGAGGAGTATGGTTTGTGGGCGGAGGAGGTACACCAGCATCAGGCAAGGAGGGATGAGGATGGACATAAGCAGGAGGAGCAGGCGGAGAGGGAATGGCAGGGGAAGGTTAGCGCAAGGCGGGGACGACAAGGAGGTGTAGTTGGATGAGGAAGACTCGGAGCAGAAGGCAGATGGGGCGAAGCAGGAGGAAGGGGAGTGGGACGTGGACGAGCAGCTGCAGCAGGGTTGCTGCCCTAGTTGTCTTCCGCTTCCCGTTGCTCCTCTCATTCTCCACCTCGCGCTCCTCTTGCCGTCCTTCTGGTGAATTCTCCTCGCTTCTCCTGTGTTCATTTCCCCTTTCTCTCCTCCTCTGCCTTGCCGTATTATCTTGGCTTGACTGAAGGGTTGTGGCATCTGCCATCCTCTCCTCTTCTCTCCTTCATCTCCTCTCCCCTCCCATCACCGTCCTCTTTTCTGCTTCCCCTGGAACTCCTCCTCTCCTTCTGCTTTGATCTCTCTTCGACCCCCCTACATGTTGACCCCCTCCCTCCTTCTCAATTTGTCCTCACCTGTCGCCATCCTCTTCTCCCCCATTACTTTCCCACTCTCCGCCGAGGTCCACCCTCCTCCTCCCTCTCCTTCCTCTCCTTCCCCTTCTCATCCTACCCCTCCGCCTCATCTTGCTCCGCTGCCCTTCGCCTGGGGGGGGTGCTTCTCAGGAGCCCCTACTCCCCCCCCGCACACACCCTGCGGGAGGGGGGCATCCTTGGATGCACCACTCAGGCCCTCCTGCAGAGGGCTTTTTCTGAGGACAACCACCTTGGGGGGTGGGGGATGAGCCTTGTCTTGGGGTGTCCATGCGGCAATCAACATCGCTGGACAACACAAGCCTCCTGACGCCCCCCCCCCCCCGGACCCCAGACCCTCAGGTGGTTTGCCAGAGGAGGTGGGTCGGCCAATACTTGCCACCCCTGTCCCCCAGTCGAGGAAGCGCATACATGTATTCAGGCGTGTTGATCAGCGATGGGACCCGCTTCTGCACAGAATCGGCGCGCTCTGTCGCCAGATCGGGCGGCGTTGGCCTCATATATCGGGGGTACCTTCCCTAATCCGTGGATCTGGTGCCCACACGCCTTATGCACGGATTGTGCCCGACCCAAGACATTTGTTTACATATCCATGTTCATGACACTCCGAGACGAGGGACGGACGACAGAAGGAGGCGACCTCATCGATGGCGTTTTTGATTTCGGCGGCGATCCACATGGGAACTTCGAGTGCGGCTACGACCACGACCGCGACGACGATCGCGGCTACGACGACGACCGCGATGACGTCTTCGCTTTCGACTCCGGCGGCCGCGGCTGCGGCCACGGCGACGACGGCGGAGGCCAGCGTGGGCGGGCCAGGCGTGGCAGACGTGGGCCGCCTGGCGGACGCCTGCGAGGAGGGTCGTCGTGGTCGTCGTCTAATTCGTCGCTTGCTTCGTCATCGTGGTTTTCCTCGTGGTCTGCTTCGTCGCTGTCGTTGTCGTCGTCGTCGCCTGCTCCGTCGTCGTCGTTGTCCTCGCCGCCGTCGTTGTCGTCGGCACCATCATCAGCAGCGGGCCGCCCTCCCTTCCCCCCCCGAGCTGCAGACTGGAGATTCCTCCAGCCCGACGCCCAAGGTGCGGGGCACCGCACCGCCGGGAGGGACTCTTCCCAACACATTGCGGTGGTGGCAGTCGTATCGCCACTCCACTCGTAGGGACCCTCCTCGTTCGTAAGTAGGCTCGAGGCTCGAAGTATAGAGGAGGAGGAGGAGGAGAAGGAGGAGGAGAAGGAGGAGGAGAAGGAGGAGGAGGAGGAGGAGGAGGAGGAGGAGGAGAAGGGGGAGGAGGAGAAGGAGGAGGCGCACGAGGAGGAGGGGGATTCCAGTTTGTGGTGCTGCAGCGGCTGCTTCGCCTTGCGGGCTTCCTGAGGGCGATGCCTTGTGAGCCAGAGACCCCTGGAGGCGCAAACGATATCCCTCGCGACGCAGGGAGCCAGGACGGCGGCGTTTGGCCTCGGCCTGTGCCTCGGGGCCGTTCCTCCTCGCCTCCTCCCCTCATCTTGCGTGACGGACAGCTCGCAACTCCGCAGTCCTTGAGGAGGAGAAGGAGGAGGAGGAGGAGGAGGAGGAGGAGGAGGAGGAGGAGGAAGGGGAGGAGATTGGGGAGGAGGAGCAGGAGAAGGAGGAGAAGGGGAGGAGGAGGAGGAGGAGGAGGGGAGGGAGGAGGGAGGAGGGAGGAGGGAGGAGGCGGAGGAGGCGGAGGAGGAGAGGAGGAGGCGGAGGAGGAGAGAGGAGGAGGCAGAGGAGGAGGAGGAGGAGGAGGGGAGGAGGAGGAGGAGGAGGGAGGAGGAGGAGGAGGAGGAGGAGGAGGAGGCGGAGGAGGAGGAGGAGGAGGAGGAGGAGGAGGCGGAGCAGGAGGAGGAGAGGAGGAGGAGGAGGAGGAGGAGGAGGACTGGCTGCCTGGACGCGCCTGCGGGCTGCCGCTGCCGCGCTGCGACGTCAACGTGCCTCGGGGGACCGGGCCTCACAGGAGACCATGCGGGCAGACGAGCCGCTCGCGGCCGAGGGGCCGCGAGCTCCGGGGGCCCAGGTTCGGGGGCGCTCAAGAGGGGGTTGGTTACTGCGGGAGTGTGGCGATGAGACTGTGTTTTTTTCAGGGTCGGGCGATCACCCGGGTTATCGGGCTTGCCCCCCCCCCCCCCCCCCCCCCCCGGGATGACCTAACCTTGCCGGTTGTGCAGGTCCGCGGGAGGGGGGGCGCGGGCACATGCAGGGCTGCCCACAGCGCGAGGCTTAGGTTATCGGCCGGCCCCCTCCTGCCCCCCCGGGGGATGACCTGGGTTCTCGCCGATTCAACAAAAAACGTCTCCACCGTGTCCCCTTCCTTGGCCGCCCCCCACTCGTCATGTGAACAAGATCTGGGCGTCGGAGGCCCGGGCTCTGGCCAAACGCCCAAACGCTCAAGGTTCTTCCCGAACGGCTTCCCCGATCCGACTCAGCCAGGGGTTCGACGAGGATTTCGTTCGAGCGGCACCCCTTCCAACACCCGCTTTCAAGATTCGGATGGCCAATTTTGTGGGCTCTTCACTGCAAGTTCCTGCTGGGGGCCTCTGAGGTGCCCCCTTTTTTCCTTCTATGGCGCAGCAGCGGCATGCCGTGCAAACCTAGCGGGGCTCATACGACACAATCTTATGGCATGGTTGGCCGCGCCGAGTCACGTCTCAGGCCCGGGTAGGCGAGGCGGGCGAGGAGTCAGGGAAACCACAGGCAGGCAGAAATCTCGGAGATCCTCGGAGATGTTCGACGCTTTTCGCCGGGTTCCTGACGCTTCGATCCCCGGCGCTTTCCGGCAGCTGCGCTTCTCGAGAGCTTCCCGAGCCAAGAACCGCTTTGGGCCGCCGCATGAGGCCCATCTACTGCCTCTCCCTTCTCCTCCTCCTCCTTCCCATCCTCTACCCCTCTCCGCCTCCCTCCTCATCCGCCCTCCGTTGTTCCGTCCACCTCCTCCGTCTCCGTCTGTGTCTCCCCCTTATCTCCGGATCCATGTCTTATCCACCTTCCTCCTCCTCCTCCTCCTCCTCCTCCTCCTCCTCCTCCTCCTCCTCCTCCTCCCCTCCCCCTCCCCCTCCCCCTCCCCCTCCTCCTCTTTCTCATATCTTGATTCCTTATTCGGATCTGCTCTTACTCCCACCTCTGTCCGGCCGAGAGCAAACCCATCCGGAGGGTCCCATCTTGATTGTTAAGGATCAATGCAACGTCTCCGCTGTTCATCCCAGCATGGCCTGTCTTGTCGCCGACGGCGCGAAATGCGTGGCAGGAGTGGGGCGCGGCGCAGGTCGCGCGCGGACGGCCATCCGAGCCCTCCGATCCTGACTGTCAAATCATCGATACAAAGTCTTCGTGGCTCCTCTTTACATGGCCTGCCTTGTCGTCGACGACGCGGAATGAGTAGCAGGAGTCGGACGCGGCGCACATCGCGCGCGGACGTCTGCGGCAACCCCAAGCGGGAGGGGCCATCCTACCTTTCGAAAGCCAATACGAAGTCGAGATGTTTCTTCTGAGTATGACTCTCTTGTCGTCGGCTTTAGGAAATGCGTGGCAGGAGTTGGGTGCGGTGCACATCGCGTGTCTCTCTGATCAGGGCGTAGGGGATGTCGGATGACCACCTTGCAGCTGGCCATCTGCCAAGCACGCGGTTCTTCATCTGTTGAGCTTGCCATCAGGCGTAAGCGAGCCAGGGAGGGGCAGCTCAGCGCCAAGCAAGTGTTGTTTTGACCAGGACCCGCTGGCGATCGAAGACCAGGCCGCCCTTTGCCAGCGCCTTTGTGTATTTTGCCCGTCGGTAGCACGTGCAGCGCATGCTGCTCTTGTATCGGTCCGCACACTCGACCTCATTTGTTGTATCGCAATGGTCCTTTCTGGTTCCCTGTGCCTGTCTTCACATTGGGATGCTTCTCTTTAGCGACATGCGGCTCTCTACTGCGGCACGCGTGCTTCTCTCGCGGGCTCTCTGAGCGTCATCATTCAGCCGACGTAGACGCAGCTTCTTACACGCACTTCTTCTTGGCAGTGCTTTCGGCTTCAATTGGAAGTGAGGGCATCTGGGCTCGGTCCCTCATGCCTGTGTTGTGCCCCCCCGTGACGCATGTTGTTTGCAGTGCTCCGCACATCGTAGGTCAGCATGTTCCCTCAATGCATGTGTTGAAATGGCACGCCATGTGTTGGCCTTCCTTCCTTATTATTTATTTTGATTGCTGGCGCGAGTCTCTCATCTCTTTGAATTGTCTGATTCGGGGGGCGATGGTACATACTTGGCATGGTTATGCGCCTTGTTCGCCGCATCGGGGCTCATCTGGCGAATGCACGCAATAAGCACTGACAGCACGTCTCTCTGCCATTGTGCGCTGATGCATATGGTGGCGTCTGCGTTCAAGGTCGAGCGAGATGCCGCGGTTATCGCGACAGAGGTCCCTGGGGGGGAGGGGGGCACAAGAAGGGCGACACCAGGGTCGAGCATGCGGGCAGATGGCAGAAGGAAGAGAGCGCGCGCGCGGGGTGTGCTGTACCCCTCAGTGGACGATCGACCTTGGAAGCAGGAACTATTCAATAACTGCAGATGTGGCATGTGCAAAAAGCAGTGATCACTGTTTCTTCGCAGCTATACGTCGGACAGTGATACTGCTGAATTGCAATATGGTGTTTACCGAAGTATGTGACCCCATGACTAGATTACGCAGTTATTTGATATGGAATGGTTAGGCTTAGTGCTATGTTCCCGATGATAATCTGATATGTCCAAGCGTTATGAAGCAATGCTGAATTGTAGTATTTCTAAGTGGTTGCTTTTTCATGTTTCTGTTCTGGTACGTTGTCACAGATTTCAGTGCGCACGTATTGAAAGATCTGTCTCTTGTTGGTGTTACGGTGTTACTAGAAGTGCCCCTGGCCAAAGGTGCCCCCAGGATTTCCAAGGAGGTCACCACGGCCTCCAGATCACCCCTCACGAGGCCAAGAGGGCTCTGGAGGCTCCAAAATGTAGCGAAAAGCAACACCCGACCCCCATCCATCCCTCAGGGTTCCCTTCCTAACTGTTCGGCGTCTGAGCTCGCTCGGCCGCCGACCGGGCAGCCGAATCTGCTCGAGTCCAGGATGCCGGTGGGAATCGGGCCCGTTTGGCGGCCAAGTGGGCTTGATCGCGGGTCCGTCTGGCGGCCGGTCGGGCTGAGATGCCGACCGAGATCAGAAGGGCACCGCAGGATGCAACTCTTGGAAGCTCCAATTCAGCATCGGCGTTTGTACATTCGTGGCCGAAAGCTGGCCTAATCTGGCACAAACCGGTTTCATCTCGCTCAGTCGATCTGGCTTGTTTGTTCGGCCGGATCTTGCTTTCAATCCGGCTTAGTCTGGCCCAGTGCCCCACAACATGGGTTGCAGTATCTTTCAATCGTTCTTGCGAAGACGTCGCAGAAATTACCCCCATGTCCCTTGCCCCCCATCCCCGTCCCCTCAGCCCGGATGTTGCCAAAGGTGTGCCTGGACCAAGGTGATCCGAGGATTTCCAGCTCGAGACATATCCCCATCCCTATGCTTGGCATCGCCTGATTTCGACGCCGATCTTCGGGATCCCTTCAGTTTCTGAGGGCGAATCCCTAAGATTGGAAAGAGCGTGTTCTACCGCTGCTGGCGGAAAACCGAGGGGGGTCACTGCCGGTTCGAACCCCTCCCCCCCCCCCCCCCCCCTCCGGAAAACCAGGGGGGGGTCACTACCGGTTCGAACCCCTCCCCCCCCCCTCCAGTTCATCATGAAAAGGGGGGGGGTCACTACCGGTTCGAACCCCCCCCCCCTTGAAACTGGGGGGGGGTCACTACCAGTTCGAACCCCCCCCCCCTCGATAACCGAGTGGGGGTGCGGACAGTGGTGGGGACGGTGGTGGTGGGGACAGTGGTGAGGGGACAGCGGGACAGTGGTGGGGACAGTGGGACAGTGGTGGGGACGGTAGTGGTGGGGACAGTGGTGAGGACAATGGTGGGAACAGTGGGGACAGTGGACAGTGGTGGGGACGGTGGTGGTGGGGACAGTGGTGTGGGGACAGTGGGAATGAGGTGGAAACAGTGGGACAGTGGAGGGTACAGTGGTGGCGAGGACGGCGGTGGGATAATGGGACAGAGGTGCAGTGGGGACAGTGGTGGGGACAGTGGTGGGGACAGTGGGGACAGTGGTGGGAACAGTGGGACAGCTCAGTGGGACAGCGGCGGGGACAGTGGGGACAGTGGGACAGTGGTTGGGGCCGTGGAGAAAGTTGGGAGAGTGGAGCCGTGGTGGGAACAGTGGTGGGGACAGTGGGGACAGTGCGACAGTGGTGGGGGCATTGGTGGGGACAGTAGGGACGGTGGTGGAACCAGTGGGGACAGCGGTGGTGAGGACAGTGGTGCTGGGAACAACAGTGGGGGATGTGATGCGGACGGTGGTAGGGACAGGGAGTCGCTTGCTGGCGATGAGTGGAAGGGGGGTGGGGAGGGGTTCGAACCGGTAGTGACCTCCCCCCCGGTTTTCGAGGGGGGGGAGGGGTTCGAACCGTAGTGACCCCCCCAGGTTTTCCAAAGGGAGGGGAGGGGGGGGTTTCGAACTGGTAGGGGCCCCCCCTGGTTTTCCAAGGAGGGGGGGGGGAGTAGGTGAGGGGGGGGGGGGGCCGGGGGAAGGGGGGGGGGGGGGGTCCAGCAGGGGAGGGATTTTCGGAGGGGGGGACCCCGGGTTCCGGAGGAAAAAGGCAAATTTCCACAGTAAATTGGCGGTGGATCACGCTCTCTCTAAGATTGTCATCGCATGTGTCCTTGTCAACCTTAGGGGTATCAGGAGGGGAAACAAAACACAGACGCAATTCATCGTCGATTCCCCAGAAGCTATGGGAAAGTATGAGAAGTGGGGGGAAGACAAAAAATACCACTTATTGAGTCTTATGTGTCTATTTGTTTGTGTGTCCCAGGGCCCCTTCAGGGTAGGGATACGTTCGAGGCTGGTCGCTCCTGGCCTCCAGGGCACCCCGATCGCGAGGCGCGGAGGGCTCTCGGCCCTCCAAGAAAGGTAAGGCGCGCAAAACTTGGGGCGCCCTGGGACGGGGCCGCCTCCGGCCTCGGCATCGCTCGGACGTGTGCATGTTTTTTTTTCTCGGCGAGAGCCACAATGGCGCCCTCGAGGGCGCGAAGTGATTCGCACTTCGCGCTTCGCGTTTCGGCTCCGATTCCTCCTCATCCTCCTCTTCTCCCCTGGGAGGCGGCGCGAGAGCGCGAAAGTATTCGCGCTTCGCGCAGCGCGAAGCGCGAAGTTGGGAGCCCTTTCAACCATCGAGGACCATCCTGGATCATCGGGCAACAAAAAAGAGCACGCACGGAACCGAACAATGCACGGGAAATGGACGTCCGAGCGACGGCAAGGGGCGCCCCCCGACGAGCGCCGAGAAGCAGCAGGCGGGGTGGGGGGCGCGAGGTCCTGGGCAGCGTCTTCGCGAAGGCCCCCCGCCAGGACCCTGGCCCTCTTCCGCTCGCCCTCGACGACGCCGCGCCGCCTTCGCCAACGTCGCTGGCGTCGTCCTCCTCCTCCCCCCCCTCCTCCCACTTTCTTCTCCTCCTCCGCTGCCTTCTCCCACCTTCTCTTTGCTCTTCCTCCTCCTCCTCCTCCTCCTCCTCCTCCTCCTCCTACTCCTCCTCCTGCTCGCCCCCCTCCTCATCCTCCTGCTCCTCATCATCATCATCGGCCAAATTCCGTTGTCCGTAAAGTTGGGGCCCAATCCTGGTATTCGGGATTTTCCCTGTAGGTTACCTCAACTTGTGTATACATTGATACGGTTCAGAGAGCCTCTTGGTGACTCCTGAAAGGCTTCTGAGTGGTTGCCTGGAAAATTCTTAGAGGTTCCCAAAAGGTCATGGAAGGCTTCCGAGAGGCTTCTGCGAGGCGTCCGAGATGCCTTCCTTTCGTGCTTTCCTGTGACGCAGGAGCGGATGGTCCGCGTCAGCCGCAGAACACCTAGTAGTGGCGGCAGTTGACTGGGGAGGATGAGCCCTTTTCTTGCGCGCTCCACGCCTTTCCTCCCTCCCTTTCCGTCTTGTCCTCCTCCTCTCCGCAGAATCTGGACTATCACCAGCCTCGAACTTATCCCTATCCCTAATATTGGCACGGCAAAAAGGCGATGACCATCTTAGGGATGCGCCTTCAAAAATTAAGGGATCCCTAAGATTGGCATCGTGATGAGGAGGTGCCCAGCCTAGGGATAGGGATATGTTCTAGGCTGGTAAGACGAGCGCAGAGTCTGGACAACATCAGACCGAGAGGAATCGGACACAGCCGAGAGTCGGCGGGTTGGGAGCATTTATCGGGCGCCGCGGCCGTCCCAGAGCGCTCCAGTTGGCAGCCTCGAGCGTATACTTATCCCTAAGATTGGCACGCCAAAAGGCGATGACAATCTTAGGGATCCGCCCTCAAAAAATAAGGGAATCCCTAAGATTGGCATCGTGATGAGGAGGTGCCCAGCATAGGGATGGGGATATGTTCCAGGCTGGTAAGACGAACGCAGAACCTGGACAGCATCAGACCGAGAGGAATCGGACACAGCCGAGAGTCGGCGGGTTGGGAGGAGGTATCGGGCGCCGCGGCCGTCCCAGAGCGTTCCAGAGCACTCCGCGAGCGTCCCCGAACGCTCGATCTTTTCGATCGATCCGAGGCTCGTCCGATTCGATCTTCCTGCTCCTCCTGCTCCTCCTGCTCCTCCTGCTCCCAGAACGCTCGATCCTCTCGAACGCTCTGGAACGGCTTCCTCTCGAGCCGCGGCCCGGCCGATCCATCCTCCCGCTCCTCCCGCTCCTCCCCCGCGCACCCTCCCCCGTCGGCCTCCGCGGCCGCGGCGCCCTGCAGCCGCTGCCCCTACGCCGTATCGCTCATTCCGAATTCTTCGGAAGTTCTTGGATTATCTGGGGGGCCAAAAGATTGAGATTGAGATTGCCAGCCTCGAACTTACCCCTATCCCTGAGATTGACGCGCCAAAAGGCGATGACAATCTCAGGGATCCGCCCTCAAAAAAATAAGGCAACCCCTAAGATGGGCATCGTGAGGAGGAGATGCCCAGCATAGGGATGGGGATGTGTTCCAGGCTGGTAGAAAATGCTTTCTTTTCTAATCGTTCTATCCTGGACCTCTTCCTGGCCAGGAAGAGTTCGAAACGAGCTCTCTTTGCAACGGGCACGATTCGAAATGAACGACGTGTGGCCCTGCGCCCCTCCCGGGCCTGCTCCGCTCCTGGGCCCATCCCGCCACCGGGGAGGGAGGCGGCCGCTCGCGCGGCCCCCGCGGCCGGAAGGGGGCAGTGTTTTGTCCGGCTGTAGCTCCGGCACCTCGGCCACCGTTTCGGGTGCAACTCCTGGGGGTCAAATTCGGATTTTGCACTGGTCCGAAATCCGGCTGAATCCCGCTTGATCTGGCGTCATCCCGCCGGATCCCGCTTAAACCGGCTTAATCTGGCTTGATCCCGCTTGATCCGGGGCCTAGTCTGGCGCAGCAGCCCCCGTGTGAGGTTTAATCCTTCTACATCCTTCCGACGACCTCCCAGTAGTTGCCTCCTAACACCGTGCCAGCGCAGCAGTCTGTCGGCCACGCGCAGGAGGGGGGGGGGGGCAGAGGGAGGGGGGGAGGCTTCTCAAACACACCCCCTTCTTCTGAGAAGCTCTCCCCCTCCCCCTGCCCCCCTCTGCGCGCCACCTCTTCTGGGTGGCAGCTCTCCGGGCGCAACAAAGAACCGCAACCACAAAGAAGTGGATGTTTCAGGAGGGCCCCTCTGGGGAGAGCCCACCGACTTCGACATGAGCACTTTGGCTGTGATTGTGGTTGATTTGGCCGTCCTGGGACGCCAAAGCGACCACAGCCAGTACGAAGCTGGTTACGGAGGTGGGGCCCGCGGCTTCCCGCCTGCAACCTCTTGGTTGCAGTGCTCTTTGCCGCGGGCGTACTGTTGCCGTGCTTGTGAGGGTGCGGGCGCTGGGTAACGCTCCGTGTATTGTCCCTTGGGCGCCGATCCCGAATCCCCGTGCGCCATTTTGGCGCGGGGTGTAGGGGGGTCCTTGGTTTGGTTTCTTTTTCTTGATTTCCTCCCTGAGGCACAGCGTTTCTGGCGCTATTGGGAGTTAGTCAAGGAAAAGATGCCGGAGGTCAGGTCCCAGCTTGTGTCCGTGATTCCCCTTTTTTGCGCGTGTGCCCTTGGTGTTGGCCGTTGGCCACTTTGGCCGTTGGCCAGGGCACGTTGGCCCGCGCTTTGTTGAGCGCCACGGTTCTGTTCTGCCTATTTGGACCTGCAGCACTCCTCGTCCTCCTCCGCCTCCTTCTCCTCCGCCTCCTCCTCCTCCTCCGCCTCCTCCTGCTCTTCCTCCTCCTCCTCCTCCTGCTCCTCCTCCTCCTCTCCTCCTCCCCCTCCCCTCTCCTCCTCCTCCTCCTCCCTCCTCCTCCTCCTCCTCCTCCTCCTCTCTCTCCTCCTCCTCCTCTTTCTTCTCCGCCTCCTCCTCCTCCTCCGCCTCCTCCTGCTCTTCCTCCTCCTCCTCCTCCTCCTCCTTCTTCCTCCTCCTCCTCTCCTCCTCCTCCTGCTCCTCCTACTCTTCCTCCTCCTGCTCCATCCTCACTCCTCCTCCTGCTCCTCCTCCTCCTCCTCCTACCTCCTCCTCCTCCTCCTCCTCCTCCCCCTCCTTCTCCTCCTCCTCCTCCTCTCCTCCTCCTCCTCCCCTCGAACTCCTCCTCTTTCTCCTCCTTCCTCCTCCTCCTCCTCCTCCTCTCCTCCTCCTACCTCGCCTCCTCCTCCTCCTCCTCCTCCTCCTCCCTCCTCCTCGTCCTCCTGCGCCTCCTCCTCCTCCTCCTCCTCCTCCTCCTCCTCCTCCTCCTCCTCCTCCTCCTTCCCCTCCTCCCTCCTACCTCGTCCCCTCCTCCTCCTCCGCCTCTTCCTCCTCCTCCTCACCTCTCGCTCCCTCCTCGTCCCCTCTTCCTTCATTTCTCACCTCCTTCCTCCTCCTTCTCCTCCTCCCTCGTCCTCCCTCGTCCTCCTCCCTCCCCCTTCGATCCCCAGCATCTTCCGACTCTCTCCTCCTTCCTCCCTGTCTTGGCCTTTTCTTCATTTCCCCCCCTTCCTCCTTCTCCCCATTCCCCCTCCAGTCCCGGCCACCTGGCATGGCCGCCAGAGCATCACCAGTCCAGCCCTCCCAGCCTGCAGCGTCCCTTTCGCGCCCCTGGATCCTCTTCCGAGTGAGCCCTGGTGGGAGAAGGACAAGATGCCTTCTCTCACTCCTGCTGGTCCTCGTCCTTGTCGTCGTCGTCCTCCCCCCTCCCCGGAGTGAGACTGCACTGCCATCTTCCTCCCCGTACTCCATGTCGCCATTCTCACTGTCGTCATCGTCGTGCCCTTTGTCGTCTTCCTTTTCCTCATCCTCCCCCCCTCTTCTCCCCTTTCTCCTTCAATATTTGCCCTCACACATGTGATGGAACGCGTTCTGACCAGGATCTTGTGGCGCTGCCATGCGTGGCGACGGAGAGGGAAGGAGGGCGAGGGTCCAGACAGAGCAGACGACAAGTCGTCGTCCTCCTCCTCCTCGCTTTTCCACCCCGCCGCCTTCCTTCCAGGCTCCCCGCGGGCGCAACGGCTCACGATGCTGCCGCGAGCGAGCCTTGAATCTTGAAGCTCTTCTTTCTCCTCGTCACCCTCCTCAGACGTGCAGCTGGCCGTGAAGACGGCGACTCTTCCTCCTCGCACTGTTCCTTCCCACGATCCCCCTTTTCATGCCCATCCTCAGCGTCCTCCTCCTCTTCCTTTTCCTCCTCCTCCTCCTCCTCCTCCTCGTCGTAGTCCTCCTACCCCTCCGAAGCCGAAGACAGCTGCGACGGCGGCGACGATGGCGCCAACAGTGGGACTGCACGGTCCTCTCCTTCGATCGCCTCGTGCGCGTCTTCCACCGGGCCTTCATCGCGCACATGGACGGCTCATCAAGGAGCGGTGAATACGTCTTCGTCGCCGTCGTCGCCGTCGTCCCCGTTGTCGTCGCCGCCGCCGCCGCCGCCGTCGCCGCCATCGTCGCGTCCCAGTTGTCGTCGTCGATGTCGTCGTCGTCGACATCGTCGAGGCCGCCGTTGTCGCGTCGCCGCCGTCGCCTGTTATCGTTGTCACCGCCGTCGTCGTTGACTCCTTCGCCGTCCTCGTCGCCGTTCTTGTCGCCGGAACAGGAGGAGGAAGCAGGGAGAGGATGTGCTTTGATGTTTTCGAGTTGCCGGATGGCTTACCTGATGTTCTTACCTGACGGGCGTGGGTGGCTTTGGGGTTGTTCATCTCTACTCTTTTGTTGCGATTTCTAATGGCTTGAGTACCCGTCGGTGGTTGAAAGTAGGTGTTCTTGGATCCTCTGAGTCCAGTCTGCTTTAGGCGCCCTCCTACTTCAAGAGTCGAACGGTGTTCCCTCTTCCCTCCTCTTCAGGGCGCGGGTGGAAGCCCAATATATTTCTTCCAGCGCCTTCCCACGTCATGGTGCGACCCACTTCTTCCGACCGGTGGGGAAGCGAATTCAGGTTCTGCGGTTTTGTAGGGGTCTTAGGGAGGGGCCGTGGCCCCCTGGTCGTCCTTGCCCTCCTCTCTTGTTCGACCTCCCTGTTTGTCTACTCTCTCGACCTCCCTACTCCCTCCTCGTCATTTACCTCCCCTCTTCGTCGTCGTTGCCCTCCTCCTGCCTCTTGTCCTCTCGACGACGCCAGGGCGATGGCGGCGGCGGCGACGACGACGACGGAACGAACGCTGGCGACCAGTCGACCACCCATGGGGCCCGAACAGGCCTTCAGAGGCCCAGCCTGATGGATACAACGCAACGCAGGCGATGCTTCTTCCCCCAGCCCTGGACGCGTCGACGAACAAAAGGAAGCCGCTCAGAGAGGGAGGGAAGCCCTTGTGATGCACCCCAAGGGGGCCATATCCGGACGCAGCCCTATCGAGGATGGACGCCCCCCATCGTATATTCCAGGGTCGGGCCCAACATTTAGAAATTCCTGCCCCATGTGGAGACCTCACAGAGCCTGGGATAGGGGTCGCCCTATCCACTGCTGCAATCAGAAAGATACGAAGACGAAGAAGAATAATAATAATAAGAAGAAGAAGAAGAAACTGCCGCCTCTACCCACGCCAGACGTCTGGGCCCCCCTCCTCTCCTCGCGGGCCCCGCGCCCGGCGGCCCGGCCCAGGAACCTGCTGCGGTGGCGCGAGATGGAGAGCGAGGCGAGGCTCCCAGCGATCGAGGAGCGCTTGCCGTCCCGTCGTCGTCGTCGCGGTCGTGGTGGTGGTGGTCGCCGTTTTCCCCCTTTCGCGTGCTCCTCGCCCTCTCCCTCTCGCATCCGTCCCCCGCTCTCCTGGTCCCATCCGCAGGATCCAGGATGGAGACGAGGAGGTGGGGGAAGAGGGGGAGGGAGCAGGAGGAGGACGAGGACGAGGAGGAGGAGGAGCAGGACCAGAGCAAGCCCAACCGGCGTCAGCGATACAGCGATGGTGCTGTATGACACTCTCCGGCCCCAAGTCCTCGCAACAGAAGTTCCCAAAGGCTTTCCTTCTCAGGGCAGGAAGCGCCCCCCCCGAAGGACCAACAACCTTTGGACCTGCGATTCAAACGAGAGTCCCGTGCTGAAGAGTCTCCGAATTGCGTCCTCTAGCGCGCAGACAGCGTCCGAAATAATCTTGGTCATACAGTTCAATGACTTGGTATCCCTCGGACGTGTGCACCTTCTCTCGGCGGAGATGATTCAGGAGCATCCTGGTTCATTCTGCGAAAAAAAAGAATCAACAAACACGCACGAAACAGAACAAAAACACAGGGAATGGACGTCCGAGCGATGGCCAGATGAGGTGTCCAGCGGGATCCCCGTTTTGATGATAGGACTGTTAGGGTGTCCATTGCCGTGGCATCCACCACCCTGAGCGCATGGATACTTAGGGGAACGTGTTGCGCGGGCGGCTTGGCCACAGAATGAGATCTCGTACGTCCTCTCGCGTCAGTGGAGGAACAAAAGACGGCATAACCTTCATATTTCGGAGGTCCGCGCGGAGCGCACTAGGGTCGGCGTCGGAGGCGCCGCCAGGGGGGCTCACGAAGCGCGTTCCGCTACTCGCAGAGTGCCCGTTTGCTCGCTCGAACGTCACATGTTCGCCTCGATCGAATGGATCGTAGGTCCCCCAGGGCGGATCCAGGCCATTTGCGGGCAGCTACTTTGCGAGTGGTGGAGCGCGCCTCCGGAGGGACGGGGCGCCGACCCAAGAGATGCGCGCGGAGCCTCGCAAGCTTCTCTCCCACTGTGGTCGCTGAGCTGGCGGAGCGGCTAGGGGGCCACATGCGAACCCCACCCCCCCACCCCCCACCATTTCGGAAGGGGGAGGGTGGGGTTCACTTCGCTCGGGAGCTCTCGAGCGGAGTGAACCCCACCCTCCCCCTCAGAAATCGTGGGGGGTGGGGGTACAGTGCCGTTTTTAACACATGCTCAGCGTGTGGATCATGTCTTGAAAATGCAGGGACTTAGTATTAAAAACAACGATGGGTTCATGCAAAAAACTATGCTCAAAATATTTTAAATCCTATATTGTTTCAAAAATCCGATGTCTTAAAAACTGCCCTGTGGGGTTCGCAAGTGGCCCCCGAGGAGCGGTCCCCGGCTGGGCGCGCGGCCGGCGCCCTCCGCGCCCTCCGCGCCCTCCGCGCGCGCTGCTGCGGCGCGCGCGGCGCCCGGCGCCCGGCTCGGGCGGGGGCGCTGCGCCGCGCGGGGCGCCCCGCTGCCGGAGCTGAGGGAGCTGGCCTCCTTCGGGTCGCGAGGCTGGCGGCGCCTCGCGCCTCGAAGGCGTCGCGGGCCGTCAGGCTGCGCGCCTCCTTCCCAGCACCCTCCTCTCCTCTCCTCTCCTCTCCTCTCCTCCCCTCTCCTCTCCTCTCCTCTTCTCCCCTGCCTCCTCTCCCCCTGCGTGTGCACTGGGGGCCGGCGCTTGAATCTAGCCCGCGGCCGAATCGAACAAGAAAGAATCTCCCATGTCTCCGCCGAGGCTCCTCTCTCCTCCTGTCCGCGGTTGGATTTGGCAGCTCCATCACTTGGGGCCGCTGTCCCTGGGCCAGAGGAGACGGTGGGCGTGGACAGTTTCGGGCTTTGGGCTGTGGGGGGGGGGGGGCGCTTCAGTTCCCTCTCGCGCGTCCCACCATGCATGGCGATAAGTTGCAATACAGCTCGTCCCAGTCGGGTAAGAAAACCGAAGGGGGAAGCAACCAAGACTCCGGGGTCCAGCAGCAGCGGAGGTTCGGGGGGGAGACTACATCGCACGGGGCTTCAGCACTGAGCGCCCTGTGCGGCGGGGGCGCCATCATATACATAGCCTCCTGAGGTTTTGGGACATCGTTTCTCGAAGTGGTGTATCTGTATAACTCTGGCCTGGAACCGTATTCAAATACGGCTGGGGCGTTAACGCAGATTGCTGTTTTCGCGGTCTAGTCTTTCTGGCCCGGTCCAGATAGTCTGGCCGAATCCGGCTGTATCTGGGAGAATATGTTTACGTTTGGTTTGTCGTAAAGTCCTACGCCAGTCTTAGCAGCTCCCCTGGCTTACGGTTACGGCAGGTTCATGAGGCTTGGGCGCGCCCGCGACGCCAGCGAAGGCGTTCAATGTTCAGCGAGGAGGCATCAAAGGAAAAACCTTTGCGCGCGCCGGCGCCGCGCGAACCTACGGTAACGGCGCGCGCGCATTCGACCGTGACCCGTTCTTGAACGCAGCCAGTCAGCGGCTTTTGCGAGGAAGGCCTCCAGGGACCGCCGAAGGCCAACGGGTAACAAGTGCGTGGCTCAAGCATATCCCTAGTCCCTAGTCTTGGGAGTGGTTGACATCGCGTGCTTACTTTATTCCAGGACGCCCTCAGTTTCTCAGGGCGCAACCCTCAGATTTGTATCGCATTGGGGCTGCCAATCCGAGGCGTCGGTATATTGCAGCTCGAAGTTGGATTGCAGAACGTATGTGTCGTCGAGAGTTTGCTGTTGCATGATGTACTGAATATGTGCAGCCGTTTCGGCTGAGTTTCGTTTCGGCCTGATGCGGATGAAATAACAGCGGTCAGTTCCCCTTTTGATGGTCGCGTGGAGCCTGGTTGGATCTTCGGACGACGACGCCAGGAGTGGTTCCGAGTAGGTGCCTCTGGTGGCAAAGGGCATCAAGATCGCACACTGTGGGGGCGTACCCTCGCGTATCTCAGGAGGTGCGCTCGTTTGAAGGTGACCTGGTGGGCGACAGGCATGTCTCTGCAGTTCATCAAGGTTTGACGCGATCGGATTCAGAGGGATATTGAAGCTGAGCTCTCCCAGTCCAAAGCGAGCAGCGATGGCGACGAATGAGGAGCTGACCCGACACTTGCAGGCCTTGACCCAAGATGCGAAAAGGCTCAGCGAGGACAACGTGAGACTTCGTCAAGAGCAGCACGGAGGCACCCAAGCAATCCTTGCACTGGTCGAGGCGGCCCTGGAAAGCCGATTGCCGTCTAAGCTTGAAGAGCGCGTTCATTTTTGCCAGAGCCGCCCGGGCAATCGCGAGTTGCTAGGGGGGAGATATTGTCGCACTCGGGGGCTCGGACCAGCGCTGGACTTCGAGGCGCCCCGGCGCATGCCGAGCAGTGGCGCGCCCCCGACGCCGTGGACATCGACGCCCTGGCGCGCGCGTCTCAGAGCGGCAAGGTCGACAAAAGCAAGAAAGGCAAGGGCAAGGCTGCCCGCGGCAGCGGCGAGAGCGACAGAGCAAGATGGCCCGTCGAGGCCCAGGCGCAGGCTAAGAAGCCGACGCGCCCCACCTCGTCTGCTGGAGATGCGGGCGCTCAGGGCGTGAGAGCTCGGACTGCTGGAGGACGGCGGAGGCGATCGCCCAGGCGAAAGGAGGTCGACGGCGGCAAGTGCGACGCGGGCGCGCTGGGCGCGGGGAACGCCGGGCAGGGCGCCCCCGGCAGTTGGGGGCCGACCGCGTGTTCCGGGGGCCGTTTGCATTTGATCGAGAGGGTGGCGCGCGGGAGACGAGCGGCAAGATCGTTGGCGCGAACGGCTGGGCGAACGTCAGCTTCGACAGTGTCTGCGGGAGCTCGACGATTCCTCGTGGCTGGGCCCCAGCGACCTCGGCGCCCTCGGGCCGGCGATTCAAGACGGCGAGCACGGGCGTCGTCGCAGACGAGGGCGGCGGGGGGCTCGTGGGAGTCAACGACAACGTCGTCAGGGCGCGCCTCGCCGGGCGCAGAGCTGCCGTCAACAAGCCCTTCGTCGCGGCCAGAGAGATGCTCGAGAAGAGGATCGGCGCCCTCGACGAGCTGCGACATGGTGATCGACGAGAGGCCCACGGCAGGGGAGACAATCTCGAAGCTGGTTGCCGAGTCGACGCGGGAAGGGGCGCTGGAGGACAGCGGGGGGGAACATCAGGCTACGCCAGGAGCGCAGAGCGCACAGCGACTACCTCAAGCTGCGGAAAGCCAAGGCTCTGGAGCTCGAGTCGTTCACGCTGAACGCGGTCGAGTCGGGGCTTGCCCGTCGGCGAGCGGAGGCCGATCTGCTTGCTCGTGGTTGGGCTGGGCTTGCCGCGCCAGCCCGGCCGCCCGCCTCCCCGACGTCGGGGGGCTGCCGGCAGGCATCGCGGCAACTCCGCGCACGCCGCCAGCTTCCGGGCAGCTGGCAGGGGGCGCAAGAGCCCAGGAGGAGCAGCGAGAAGGCCTTCTGCCCCAGGAGGAGGAAGCACGAGAGCAGCGCGGCAGACCGCCGCGAGCTAGACTGGCCAGGAGCTCGGGCCAGCCTTCTGGCATCGGGATAGCGGGGGGCGAGGCGCAGGGCCATGTCCACGTCTGGCCCCGGCGCCCTTCGCGCCGCGCAGCGCGCGGGACTGGCCAAGCGCATCGCGAGCGCCAGCCAGCCGAGGGAGAGCCCCCCACGGTCGTCACCGACTACGGCTACATCAGCGAGAGCGTGTCGGACAGCAGGGGTCGAGACACCGACGCCGCGGTCACGGTCCTGGTGATGCGCGACTGCCTGCTGAGTCGGGCGGGCTGCCACGGCGCGAGCTTGGCCCCGGCCGAGAGGAAGGGCGACTTCAGCTCTAGCGTCGCCGTCAACTTGTTCAACCACATCGGCCGCGCGAGTTGGTCGGGCCAGTCCGACGGCGAGAACCCGCCCCTAGCGCTCGAGAGGGATGTCTGCCGCAAGATCGAGAATGAGGAGCTGTTGCTTCGAGAGGGCCCGGTAGGAGAGCACGGGGCTA